ACGCGTAAAATAGTATTTGAGTTTTTTATATAACAAATTTTTAGTTCATAAACTTGAAAAAAATTTCATTTTGTTTTAAAATGAATTACCCGACGACATATAAACAAACAAATTGCAAAGAAAATGTACTTCTTTCTTTTCTCTTAAGGAAAAGTCATCACATCCAACAATTCACCATCATACGTTTTCTAGATGAAGAATCTCATGTCGTCATGAATTATTTCCGTCTTATTACTTTATTGACACGGTCAATGGCTTCATATGTACAACACCTAGTGTGAGTGTTTCAACATGGGTTTCTTCTTAGTCTCTAGAAACTTCATTCGTAAGAAATTGTCGAAAACGAGTACTTATTTACCATTTAGTATTTTCTTTTTCCTTTTAAGTTTGGCCGCTTTTATATACTTGCAATCTTCCATCATTTTGATAATTTTTTGACGTGCTCATCATTAGACTCTAAAACATAGTTAAATAAACACATAAATTTCACTTGAAAGATTACGTACAAGCTTGAAAAATCAAGAGGATTATTCAGCAAATAACAGAGTTATTGAACACCCAAATAACTAAGCAAACTAGAGTATGTGCAAATAAGTAATGAATTTTACATTACATCATGCACCAATTACCTAAGGAGGAAACCACAAGGGTGGTGTCTGATTTGTTTGAGCTTGGTTTCAAAGGTCAATAGTACCAGGAGGTAACGGGTTCAAATCCAAGAAGTGATAAATACACAAATTTAAATGTTTTTTCTTGTTACGAAACTGTAGTTTTCTATATCTAACAATCCATTATACGTTTTCTAGATGAAGCATCTAGTTGTCATGAATTAATTCTCTCCTATTAATTATGTTTGTTGATATGGTCAATGTCTTCATATAAACAAGACCTATTAATTGTGGGTGCAAAATCATAATCACAATGTAGTTTCTAGGAATTGGAGTGTATGTAATCTGTACATATTCTTGAATTATGCAAAAAAGAGAAGAAGCATTGTTTTACTTTCTAGAATTGTCAAAACTGGGGTTTGGATAATTATGGGTACCAAGGCCAGTTAATGCTCGATTATTCCCATAGAGCATTGAAATTAGCAGCCGAGAAACCTCCCATCGCCCTAAAATGACACGAACTAGTGACCAATGGGATTAAACCCAAAGTATTACCAGTAGAGTTGTAAAGGTACCCCAAACATTATGAATCTAGAGTTCGTGAAAAAATAATTGTAGAAAAGGCCATCTACTTGGCATTCTTTTTATAAAATTGTTCATACTGACAAAAATATATTGTCCTTTTTGCATTTTGGGAAGAAGAGTGGTTCAAAAAGTTCTATTGCTCATTGGACAAAGAATTGCGTACTTCAATCTCATTAGGGGAAGTACCAGGAAGGTATCTTTCGACGACCTTTCCGTTTTTATCTACTAAAACCTTCTCAAAATTCATCTTCACCAAATCGTCCAACAATTAATTATCTACTGTTCGACTTTAAAAACTAATAAATCGAGGTAGCGAATGGCTGTTCACATCAACCTAGGGGGCATAAGGTATTAATCTTTTTGCTCAACCAATTTTATTGCATGCTGAACAATGAAATAAAAAAAATAAAAAAAAAATCTAGTTCAAACCAAAGGAAGTCAGTATATTTCGTCTGAAAACCAAAGTCTAAAGATGAGACGCATAGATACCTGTCTTCTACCAGAAGGATAGAACGATTTTTTATATGAACATACACTCTTTGAACCCATACAACAAGTCGTAGACAAACCGAGTCCACCCATGCACATTTCGATCACTTTTTTGTCCTTGACCCCAATAATGGTCAAAAAGGTTTGGAAAAATATTGAGATCAACAAAAGCGAAAACGATAAAGGAGATGAAAAGACCCAAAATGGATCAATGTCGAAGAATTATTATCTTCGAGTGTTTCGATCACTATTTCTATTGATAAGATTACATGCAACAATCAATAAAATAAAGTTTTTTAAAGATAGATTTCTCGGAGTACAAAATCAAGCATAAAAAGTATTTTAATGAACGATGAAAGTAAAATCTTTTGAAGTTTGCCTGATGAATTCACAAGTTAATGAGTTCAACCAAATGTTTATTAGCTTCGAGAGGCAATATCATAGTGGGTAACCTAATGACCAAACTATACAAGGACGCAACATGTAAATCGTATATCAAATCAAAAGTACGTACCTAATATAAATGAAATTTTTGTTACAAAGATCAAAACTCTAGAAACATGTGCTCATGCATTATACCGAACCAAATCAAGCTTACGTAGTATATCCGAGTCTAAAGTAGCTCAGGTATGAAAGGTATAATGTATGCGAATCTTTTTTGTCTATTCCAAGGGAGGTTGTATTCGTGACCTAACTCTTAGACAATTAATTAAGTCAATGACCTAAGGGTTCATAATGATAGAGAGTTGATGCATTTAATATATATATATATATATATATATATCATAATTACTCAATATTTTGATTAAATTTTATCACCTTATTTGCCAAAAAGTCAAAGTAGCCAGTTGGTAATACGTTTTTTTTTAAGTTATAAATACTTATAACCACAAATCTTTTATAATTCATATATACGTTTATTTTATTCATCTCATTTTGTCAAGAGAATACTAAAGAAAATTATTTAATGATATCCAAAAGCTTTTCGTTCATAATATTTTGCACATTTTGACTATTGTTTCCCTTGCTCTTTACTCTTTTATTTTATTTATATTATTTTATTAAGCAAATTTAACAAAAAATTTAAAGTCTTAAAATACTAAATAACCAAAATACCCTTTATATTTTTTCATTTTTTCACCCCTTCTCTTCTCACATACACTCACCCTCTCACAACAATTTTTTTTTAAATTATAATTTTAAATTTACACTTTATACCCCTATAATTATAGTTAATTAATTTACTTTACGTCCTTTACTTTTAAATGTTTTATTTTAAACCTTTATCAAATTAACATACATAATCGTATATCAATTAAAACATATTTAAAAAATACATTTTTGTTTTAACAAGTTACACCATTATAATTGTCTCGTTAATACCTTCAAAATGAGTCCAATATTGAATAGTTTTTTACTTAATTATATTATTATATGTTATATATACTGTGAAAAAATATTTTTAATAATTACGATTTATACTTTTATAGTTATTTATTTATATATATATATATATATATACTATATACTTTGGGGTTAGGCTGTCCAAATTGCACTGTATAATATATTCTGAATTAATATGTTCTTGGGTTTTTTTGAAATATATATACATGTATTAATTCAACCTTAATCTGAGTTTCTGGACAAGAAAGAGGTTATTCAGTTGAAATTTCATTCTAAAACCCATCTTTTTTGGTCTTTTCATGGCTTATGATCTATCATATTTGTAGTTTTCTTTATTGGTTTGGAGTGTTTATCTTAAAACTCAAGTTTCTTGGTTTTTTGCTCTTGGTGTAAATCGAACACATTTGTGGAGTCGTTTAAATATGTTGGATTTTAAATATATTGGATTTTAAACTGTTATACAATTTTTTTTATCGATAGTCTGTAATTGGAACCATAACTCTTATTTATTCAAATTGTATTAATATGTAAAGACCAAGTGTAATATATATCATCGTTAAATCTTATCTTATAAAACCAGTGGAACTTCAAAATCGTTAAAATTCATGGCTCTCACCGCATTGCGTGAGTACACAACTAGTTTTTACTTGCATATTACTTGTTTCATTGTTTTTTAATAACAAATATTGTAGTCATTGTTGTCTATAAAGTGTTGTTTCATTTTGTTTTAAAATAAATATTAACTTTAAATACAAAATATGTTTGATATATATATATATATATATATATATATATTTGAGAAGTGATAAATATTTGAGAAGTGAAGAAGTGATCTTAACCTTTCATCTAGTCAACGTTTGCGGCTTTGACCGTGAAGTATGGAATAATTAATTACATGCATATGCGAAACATAAAGGGGTGTTTCGACAAACTGGTTTATATGTGAACCCATATTATACACATATGAATTATATATTCATGTATGAACCCGTTAATTAGTTCACATGTGAACTATTTAATTTGGTTCATATATGAACTCATGGGTTCCTATGTGAATTATACGAGTTCACATATGAACATATAGTTCATATATGAATCACATATATATGAACATATAGTTCATATATCAGTACCGGCAAATTTTGTTTCACTAATCAGTCGTTAAATACACTGTTCAAGAAATCAATTTTTATTGTTTTTAAATTTTAATTTCCTATGACAAATAATAATACTACTATTAAAATGTAAACGACACAAACATAAACCTAAATATCATACATTAAAAATAAAATAGCAATTTCGGTTAAAAAGAAATTCGATTGTCCGGTTCAAAAAACATCCAAATCAAAACTCTTGTCGTGGAAACCGGCCAGGTTCTACGATTGGGACAACTTCATGACCATCGCTCTCATCTCTTCAAACACCTTGTATCGGGCGTCGTCACTCAATCTAAGGTGATTTCTGCCACTAATTTCTGACAAGTCTATTTTTTTTGTTGTGAAGGGATATTTTGTAGAGTAATCTAATTAATGGGGTCCACTTATATTCTCATATGATATTAGAACCAAGGTCTAAAAGTAGGGGACTCGAAATTGTGGGGCAATCTGTACTCGTCTAGCCCCACGTCCAGCTCTAACCCCCTCTTGACACTCTAAAGCTTAACAAATTGTTCTCGTCTAGCCTCCGTTGGAAATAACTAATTGAAATCTCACATCGACTAGACTTGAATTATTTCTCTTTAATATATGTTGAAACTCATTTCTCTCCTTATAAGGGTTCTTTTAGAGAGTAATTCATCAAACGGGATTCCACGTATATTCTCATAAATGTTGAGCAATGTGCATTATAGCAAAGGTCCTTGATAGCCATCGTGGGTACATAGAGTTATACCACTTGTTGTATGCACAACCCTACCAACACGAGCATATGATATCATTAGGCGATGTTAAACGTTGAAGAACCGTTGCCAAACCATTGACATTTGTCATGATATATGTGCACAGTTATATACATGGAAATTGACATGCTTAAAACAATTCGTATTCCAAAATATTGGAGGAAATGGCGTCTGCAAGATCTTCAATGAAATCAGGCTTTCTTCTTAAGGAGTTAGCCATTTGTTCAACTAAGACCTGATCATATTTCAGCATCTCCATTGGAGAGTTTAACCTTGAAATGCTGCTAGTCTGAATCTCGGGTTCTTTCTCCATACTTTCATGGTTGTGCTCTCCTTCATAAATCACGACTAGAAGATGGTCATTGTCCACACTTCTTTGTACCTGAATGAAGTAGCAAGACAACGTTTATAGCTAGTTCGATCAATGATCTTGTTTTCATCTATCTTTAAAGTCAAATATACATGCTTTCTAATGTTTTATAGTTTATCTGAAAGTTATTAAAGCTAGAAATAATAGATGGATCACCTTCTTTTTGACTGGGCAGGATGGTGCAAAAGAGCACTTGTAGTAAGCTCTGGGTGAAGGGTTATCTCTGGTCACTTTCTGCCCATACTTTCTCCACTGATATCCATCCTTTACTACCTAAACATAATTCAACAAAACTATAACTTAATTCCATAATCGACATAGAAACTATAGGCCCCCACTACAACAAAATGGTGTTCTCACGATAGCCAAAGTCCTAGATCGACTTAATAATGGGAATTTGAGTTTATAGAACCAAAAACCGTACGTGCATCCTATCTAAATGCAATTACAGTAAGTTGTTAGGATGAAGTGTGGTTCTAATAAGGCACAAAAAGTAAATCGATGTATTAGTGTTCTCTTAAATTTTGAACTCCGTCGACTAACGTTATCCTGACAACTTGTTATAACGCTTTAGATAGGATGGATACTTCTTGGATTTATATATGAATCTAGAATCCCATTAAGCACTCTATAAAACCTAGCTATTCTGTTGAAGTGTGAATCGAAAGACATGTTTAAGTACCATGCTTTTATCAGATAGATCGTCTATCCGTCTATAAACTCTTGTGATGCCCTCATTTGGCCTTTTCAACGATCCGTGATCATGAAGATTCTCCGTGCTCCCACTGGCGCAGCCCTCCGCACACTGGCCAAACTTTCTTTTATGTGGATTATTGAGCAATACCTCATTATCTTGCATTAGTTTGTTAACATGGTTTTGGAGGGTGGTGTTTTTGTCCCAAACAATTGTTAGCATCTCCTTTAGCTTCTTGTTCTCCAAGCTCATCTGGTTTAGATCAACATTCATCTGCTGATATATATATATATATGTACATAATTAAGAACAAGATATAAAATGCATAAACCCCACACACACACATATACATACATACATACATACATACAGACAAGTTGGATAATATGGATGGAGTTATGTATACTTACTGGGGTATCATCGGTTTTGTGGAAGGGAGTGACGTTAAGATCTATGGCACGAGATGTATCGAGTACCATTGTGTTAAGCCAAGTCTTATGTTGGTCAAGCGAGTGAAGAATCCATGATTAGCGATTCAGGTTTTTATAATAGAAAGATAGTAACAAGTCATGGTCATTATTTTTTCTTTTTAGGTTTTTCTAGGGAGGTGTGGATGCAGAAATTTCCAGGAAAGACACCATGGGCTTCTTATTTATTGTTAGAAAACTAGTTGTCGGATCGCGTACGTATGTATTAATATGGCTTTCTATATTCAGTTTTATATATATATATATAATATATATATATATATATATATATATATAATATGTATGCATACATATTAACTGAATCCCATGGGAGATCTGGAATGCTTGTGACATTACTGCATATTTACCTAGTAAAATTCAAGAGTTGATCCAACGATAATTATTAGACTGTTTTTTTTTATTTTAAATTTTTTGATAAATTTAATAACTTTTGTCGTCAAAAGAATATGTAAGTTTTGTGATCGCTAGCCATAAACGTGATTGGTTGAGCTTTAAATGCAATATATAAACTTGAAATTACATGAGACCAGCTTGTTTTCGTGAGACCCATGAAACCACTTTTTTAATCTTGAAACTTCATAACAAAATGTTATGAAGGTAATTTTCAAAGTGTTTTTCCTATAAAGGTTCGGCTTTTTTTCTTCACATAATTTTGCTGGGAAGTTTCAAGTGTAAAAAGATAGTCTGACGTGTCTCACAAAAACAGGTTGGTCTCACGTAAACCCAACCCCCTCTCTCTCTCTCTCTCTCTATATATATATATATATATATACACACACACACACACACACATACTTTACATGACTTGCGATCACGTAAGACCAGTCTGTTTTCGTAAAACCCGTGAAATCATTTTTTTACACTTGAAACTTCACAGTAAAACGCTGTAAAAGTAAAAAAAACAACCCTTCACAACAAAAACATTATGAAAATTACCTTCAAAAATAGTGTTTTAAGATCAACTTTCACCACTTCAAAAAAAAGAACTGAGTTTTCAACTAATTTTACAATGTTTTTTAAGGGTTCCAGTTTTTCTGATAAACTTTTATTTAATTAAATGCTTGTTTAAAACATTATCTTTGAAGCTATTCATGGAGATGAGTCAGTGAAATTTGTACCTAACATAAAATAGACCACAAATGTATGACATCGACAACCATGACAATATTTGTGTGACATAATAAGTTTACATGATATTTTAAATATTCTCAACAACAAATGGGTTAAAATTATGCAGGGTGGTTACATTCATCAAACACTACAATAAAATTGATTTGATTAATAGGATATCTAAAATGCGTAAGCGTCTTACAAAAATATTTTACAGGACTTAAGTTTATAACAACAAACCAAAAATCGTCACATCTAAAAGTGTTACTATAGGTTTATAGTACGTTTTAACTAGTTTTTATAGTACATTTTTCAAATAAAATGTCATATTAGCTATTTTATATAATGTTATTTGAAAAAGTGTCCTATAAACACAGTTGTCCTATAAACACAGTTGTCCTATAAAAATATGGGTTTATACAACACTATTGAAAAGTATCATACAAAATAGCTAATAAGACGATTTATTTTAAGAATGTGATAAAAATCTTGTTAAAACGCCTAAAATTTGCATCATATAAATCTATTGTAATGTTTTTAGATAAGACGCTTTGTAGCTTGATCATATAAATTTACGATACATTCTGGAGGTGTAAAACTCCTCGATTTGCATTCAATGTCTGTAAGTACGTACGCACATTCAAAATATGGAGGTTTAAACCTTGTGAATTTTGTGATCTTTACGAGCATCATAAAATATCAGAGTTTTGATATTTTGGTGTTCATGAACTGTTTCTATGAACTGAAGTATAGCTACTACTTCCGCCCGTACAATTAATTAATATTTACTTTTAATGTATGATATCTGGTTTTACGCTTTTATCGTCTACATTTTAGCAGTATTTTCAAAGAGTTTTTAAACTGCGCATTTAGTGGCGGATTCGTCGGTGAAAATCCGCTGGTGGTTTTATTTATTACTTTTAAAATCCTTAATAAAAAATAATTATTATGAAAATTAAATTAATTTCCGGTGATTCCACTGCTTAATTAGAGGCGGATAATCCGCTGGTGGTTTAATTAATTAAATCATCGGAGAATTATCCGCCACTAATCCATCGGTGATTTAAATAACTAATTAAGTTACTTAATTAAGTCGGAAAACTTAAGAAAAATTTAGTGGTGGATTTTTGTGAAGCGGAATCCGCCGATGCTCTGCTGATTCTGCCAGAGATTATACATGTTCTCAAACGAGGTTTTCACTGGCTAGGAAATCTGCTAGAAACCCGATTTTCTAGCGGATTTATCTACTAGTGAAAGCCTCATGTTTAGTAGTGTTACCACTAAAAATGACAAAGGAAAGTTGTGTCCTTGTTTGTTTCCAACATAAATTTTGGAAGTTTGTTATATCTGTGTTTAAAACTGAAACAGTAGATAATGAATCTTCGGTTACATATGACAATAGAACGGCAAAGAAAATATGCGTGTGTTTTTTTTTCTAACGATGGGGTTCATTTTCTATATCTAACAATCTATTACACGTTTTCTAGATGAAAATTCCAGTCATCATGAACTATTTTCTACTATTACTTTGTTGATATGGTCAATGGCTTCATCATACAACACCCGTTTTGGATGTTTTAAGTCTTGGTCTTCAGAAACTTCATTTGTAAGCAATTGACAAAACGAGTACTCATTGACTACTTAGTACCTTTCTTTCAGTTTGATTGATAGATTTTATTTGATATTAGCATCAACAAATTTTTCACGAGATCAATTTACTTAATGAAGTCCAATACATGCATTTCTAGCTTCTTAATCATATATTAAGCGAAGTACAATGCCTGCAATATTAAGTCACGAGTTCTACAATTCGATCTAAGGATACTTTTGCTTCAACCCTAACCTCGATCATAAATGCACACTACAACAAAATTGGGTTTATAGGACACCCCCAATCTCTAAGCGTCCCAATAGACCGTTTTATAGGACTTAATTTATAGGACCAAAATATAAAGCGTTATATTTAAAGGTGTTGTAATAAATTTATATGATGCTTTCGGGCGTCTTAACAAGTTTTTTAGAACATTTTTTAATACAAAGTGTCGCATTAGCAACTTTATAGGACGTTTTTGAGAAAGTGTCCTATAAACCCATCTTTTTATAGCACAATTGTTTTTATATGACAGTTTTTCAAATAGTGTTCTATAAAGTTGATAATAGGATGTTTTATAATAAAAGTGTCTTAAAAACCTTATTACGACGTCAAAAAAATGTCATATAAACTTATTACAACATCTTTAGATAAGACGTTTTATTTTTTTGGCCCTGTAAACTAAGTCCTATAAAGAGGTATATTAGGACACTTAGAATTTAGGAGTGTCCTATAAACCTGATTTTGTTGTAGTGGTGTAACTGGGTTTAAAGTGATAATAGTCTAGAAATAATGGTTAGGGATATGAACAAAACCTCTAATCTAATTATGTCTTCTTATTTAATTAAGACATATCTTGTATTTGAATTTTGGAAAATAAAAATATATGTTTAAGAGAGATCTTGACAATCACATATATATATATATATATATATATATA